ACTAACATGTGAATTCGTGCTGAAAACATTTTCACATGCCCCCGAGTGCAGTGGAATTTGGAGTGCAGTTACAAACAATGAGGAGTAATCGTTGACATGCGGCACTGACAAATATCATAATGGCTGAATACCATTTTAAAAGTGTATTTAATTATTGCTGGCCATGCGGTTGGATGCTTTGGGAATACATACATGTATATATCTACTAGCCCCACAGCCATTGTTTTATGTTTGTTAAAATTCCGTCAAAACATCTGCCATACCCGTATGTGGCATTAATTACAAGTAGAATTGCCCTTAGGCAAGGGTCCCCCTTCTCGCACTAATTTACATGCAAATTGCAGATGCCCGAGGATACTCTGGGTATCAGGTGATGTGAAATCATAGACGCCACCTTAGAAATCCAACAGACTACGGTCTCGAGGTCTTTGAGGTCGGTCAACAGAGCTAGGCGGTGTCACCTAATGAGCCGATCCCAGGCGATGAGTGGGCGTTAAGCGGCCAATTAAGTTGGCTGATGGCAAAACCCATAAAGCCAGGTGTAATAAAAGTGTAGTGCACCATGGTAACTGGGAGGCTTCACACACAGGCCGCCTCTTCTTTTACTTTTCCTTCCATTTTTAGCTGACTGAGCCAAAAGTTTTCAGTTCATTTTTTGATGGCCATCAGCAACGGGAAGTGGAAGTTCTTTAGGCAGATGATGAGCAGCGATTCGCTTGCGTAGCCTAGCAGCGAAATTATAATTAAAAGTAATCAACGACATTATCAAGGCAAATGCTATAGCCATCCAGAGAGCACTGAGAAGCGAAGCACAAAGCCAAGGCTAAGCAATGGCACAGGGCAAAAATCCAGAAATTCTGCGGCGCAACAAGTCAAAGTAGTTTGGCCCACGGCTTGACTTGGTTTCACTACACGTGGAGAAAATTGGGTGTGTTGTGTATGAAATTCCAGAATTTATATCTTATTTTGGGGTTCTTAGATCAGAAGTTTAATTTGCAACTTGTTAAGATATAGAAATTTATAAGACGATTACAATTTATAAAATTCATATCTCAAAACTCCTTAACATTTTTCAGTGCTTAAAGTGAAAAGAAGTCGGAATAACTTTCTGCTAACTTGCCTTTTTTGTGATAGGTTTAATCAGAGTAATTAAAGTTAACAACAACCGGAATACCAGGATTAGTTTTATCACTGTTTACCTTTCTTTCTAATATTTGCAGAAGAACCTGACTCATTTATGCTAGTTTAGAGGTAAGTTTTTGTTCATAATCAATAAACTTAATAAATAAATTCAATATTATTTTATTACTTTTATCAAATATAGAAAAACAGCAATAATATAAATATTTACAACTTTTTCTGTGCAGCTTTAACGTTGGCCATTGAGGGCTTTGAGTGCGGCTAACAGTTGTTGGGAGAACATTTAATTAAGTTCCCTCTGCCGGCGAATGATGAACGAGCGCTCCATTAGATTTAATTTACTCAACAAGTATTACCAACATTATCAGTGTTATTAGCTAGATGAATGTGTATTCCCCGCTCTGGCCCCTCCTACATCTACATCCTGCTTCGGCTTCTCATTCTGCCCATATTCCTTGTCCTTGGTTCGTGGTTGTATTTGCTTTATGTGCAAGCGTATTTGTTAGCGGAAATGGAATAAGTGTGTTGTTGCTGCCGCTGCTGCCAGGCTGAGTCCAATGGCTATACACATTTAAATTTCACAATAAATTTCAGTTTTAAAGGAATTCTTTTGCTCGAATATATTAAGTTGCTCTTAATAAGAGAAACAGCAAGTTTTGCAGGAATGAGGAGCAACTTTAAAATAGAATTTTCTTTATTTTAAATGATATTTTAAGAATGCTGTTTTTATAAACTAAAAATCAAATTCTTTGAGAAGCAAACAACCTCTATGAGCTGTGAGAAATCTCATTATGCAGCTCAGCCAAAGCAAATTGCAGTCTCAGGATATCAGGAATTTTGCAGTGGCAAGAGGAATTGACTTTTTCTAAGCCGAAGAAAATGAGAAGGCTAAGTAGACGAAGCAGGATTCTATGTCTCATCATAAGCTAAACGATTCAAAGATTGAATTCCAAGTATCCTGTGCATTTTAGATAACGACACTCTTTCAGGACTTTTATCCTTTTGAAGTGGCTACTGTGAAATAAATGGGAATTGAGGGTGCTAACTTAATTAGGGATTGTGATTTACAATATTAAAGGGAAAAATAAACATGCATATTGAATAATATATTCCAAAAAGTTTTTGTATTTCATTCTATGTATTTTTCTGGCTTATGGTAGTATGAGAGCTTGGGGAAGAACCCGAAATGAATAATCAAACCAAATCCGAAAAGTATGCAATATAAATTTAAGAAACCTCCCACATCCCCAACCCATTTTTGCATAATCTAAACATTAGCAAAGGCCATTATGGCCACCTTTCACTCATGGCATTTTACATTTCTAAAGAACGCCAGACTTAGTTGGCTTAATGGCAAGGCTTTCATCAATTGTTGGCCCAGCTGGATCGATGTCCACCCACGGTTAAAAAAAAAAAAATTGTATATAAAAAGGACATGGCAGGACCTGGCACATGTGACCCACTGGCCAACAGGCATTTCCTATCGCCTTTTCGCCTGTTCGTCATTCGCCTGTTGCCAATCTCCAATGGCGCTTTTCAATTTAGCCATTTCCGCCCCAACAGTGGCCGACATGATTAAGCAATCAGAGGCGACTGAAAGGCGCAACACCCGCCAAATGAGCCAACTCAAAGAAGGGAATCGACCAAGAGCGTCAACTTTGTTGCCAGCGGAAGGGATTTATGTGTTTAGATTACTCGAGCAGCAGGCAAGGCCAATGAAATCGTTTATATGTTTATATGTTGGCCAACACAAAAAAAAAAAAACCGTCATTAAAGTGTACTAAGTTGGTAAAAGGACCAAGTACCCATATACAATATAAGTCGACGGGCCATTAATGACCCTCATAAATTTTTAGTGCCCTTTGCTGTGATTGCATTGCGTAATACTTCATCAAAATTAATTAATTATGCAACCTAGTTGATTGTTTTTTTAAAATCAATACTTGGTTCTAAAGGAAAATGTAGAAAATGTGTCTTAGCCATTATCTAAGGAAACAAAATATGAAAGGTCAAGAAAATGAATGGAAAATTGAAATATTTCTTTCAGGCATACCAATTTTATGATGTTCTTAAAGTAAGACCAAAAAATTTATTAAGCTAAATACTTTAAGACCCGAAATGTCGTCATGGTAAATGCCAAGGCATTGTATCGATTCGTAGGCCTTAAAAATAATTGTCTAAAAGCGAAAACGTGTACGAGTACTGTCAACGAATGTCGCACCAGTGAAAAAAAAAGAGGACAATAAAATTGCTTTCCATTCTGTGGCAGCGTCGGCGTGACAATGAAAACACTTTCCAGTTATTTGAATGCCAATGCAGCATAAAACTCGGATCCGTTCACCTTGCTTCATGTCTCTCTTCCACCTGCTCCATTTTCCACCGCCTAACGACGCATTAAAAGCGGGTGGAAAAGCCCTGGAACTAGAACAACAAACAAAAATCCAAACCAGGGTCACGAAACACAATCGCTCGAGTGTATGCCCCAAGAAATTGAAATGCAGAGAGGGGAATCCTTAACTGAATGGTGGGAGTTCTTCTTCCCTCGCCAAAAGGGATGCTCTTAAGTACAGTAAATACTCCCTTCTGACCTTTTACAACTTATTTGTTTGGTTTTTTATATATATTTAAGAAGGCGCGAGAGGCATTCTAGAGACATAAAACTGGGAGTAGTACAAATTTTAGCTAAAATTCTATAAAGTACTTTATTATCTCGAGAATCTGGCTCTTGAAAATCCTCATATTGATACTCCCCTGTTCTATATTAACTTATTAAAAATATTTATAAAATCTATCAATCTTTTTGTAGGCAATTTCTTAAGTACCCTTTATTTTCCCTTGAATTTTCACTGTAAATTCGCATAACAAAAACTCGCCTTCCACCAAAAATGAGAACAATTTTCCGCGCATATCAATTTAGAACACCCGGCTGGCAATGGCAAACCTGGAGGGACTAACAGACTGGCTGACTGGATGAACGAACGCCAGTGGCATACGCGCGTGATTTGTCGCCCGAGTGCCTCCAGGTAGAACGACCTGGAATACCACACGTGTACGGGTATATCCCAATCCAAAAGCCAAAAAGAGAAGGACTACGAATTACGGACAACGAAGTCCGGAGCTTGTGCCACCGCAAAATGTCGAGCCATAAATTGCGGTCTCCAAATGTGCGATACGTGCGTTTCCTGAGAGGAAAGCCACTCGGCGATGCCATTGTTCTTTCGTTTTTTCTCAGTCAATAAAAAGCTTGTTTCAAGTGCATTAGCATCTGCAATTCGAGTGGCAAAAGGAAAGTGCATTGTCTGCCAAAAAAACTTCTGTCTTCTTGGCACATTTAATTAAGAAAGCAGAGGAAAAACGGTGGAAAAGGTTAAGGAGAAGGAAACACCTGACTTAGTTAGTTGCTAAAGTGCAGTAAGACAGCTCGGCTCTGGGTCGAGTTTCGATTTAACTTACAAAATTACGAAAAGCAGGAGAGAAAATCAGATAGAAGAGTCCTTCGATGGGTTGAGGGGGTAAATGCGACATTTTCAGTGCTGACATTGGCAAAAAAGTAAGCTAATCAGTCGAAACTGTTGGGGTAAGATATTGGTTACATTGTCTTAAAACTATTTCAATATCCAATAAACATGAAAATGGAAATCGTTTACATAAACTCTGTTTGGGAAAGGTTAAAAGTTAAAATACAAAAGGGGAAACTTCATTTTGGAATAAATTCTAAAACTTGGATTTATAAAATAATATTTTCTAATTTAAAACTTAATTAGTTTTTCCAATTTTAATAAAAATCGTTGTTCGCATTTCCCACTCATTGAAGGACTCTTATTGTTAAATGTATTAAAAAAAAGTAAACTATCACTCACATCATTCTGGTGGCATCTCTCTGTCGCACGGACTCATCCCGATTTAACACCTCGATGATCATTTTTCGTTCGTTTTCGGATAGATTTTCCAGGACCTGAGAGGTGGCCACCGCAAGCTCAGGACCCAAAGCATCAATGGTGTCCACTGGGATCCGCTCCACGTTCGATTCACAACTGCTACCCATGGTACTGCCATGGAGATTGTACGGTGCCATGCCGCCGCTCATTCCCATGCCCATGCCCATGCCACCGACCACGCCCATTCCCATGCTCAGATTCATGCCGCCACCCATGCCCACACCCATTCCCATTCCCATGCCAGATGCTGCCGATGCTGTGGTTGCAGCGGTCGACACTGCGGGATTGCTGCTGCTGCCGTACTGCAACATGCTGTTGCTATTGGGTTCTCCGGCGGCCACTGCTGCTGCTGCCGCTGCCGCTGCTGCTGCCGCCCTATGCTTGTTGTTGGCGGTCTGGGTGGGCGTTGCAGGGAGACGGGCACTGCGTCCACTTGACATGCTACACCGATTCGCCAAAGGGACACTGCAATTCCAGATTCGGTTTGTATCCTACGGATGCTGGCGTATGCAAATAAATGGAAATAGCCGCGGGGTCGAAATTCTAGAGTCCGTAGCTGACTTTTTTTGTTCGTCTTTTTTTAATTACGGACTTTTAATATAGCTGCCCCTTCCGGAAATGTTTGCCCTAAAATTTGATTTTAATTTTGTGCTGCTTTGCGGCCAAAATGCGCATCATCCTGCCGGTTTGGTCAATTGATACCTGGAAAATAATCAAGAAAAAAATGTGGTTTTTTGTGAATGTTCTGTAAATTAATGATCGTAAAAAGAGAAATTCTATATAGCAGTAAGACAGGGTGCATCATTTGGGAACGAATACCGGTAGATACTATCTTAACCATTGGCCTTTATCTGGTTTTTCCCCAGCTCTTCAGTTTGCCAATTAAAAAGTTGATGGCCAAAATGCGTTGCATACTTCAGGGATTTCGGTTTCTCGAATTTCATGCTTCACATTTTCGGCTTATGATGCACTCTGGTTATTTAGCTAGAAACCCAGCTTAATAAAAATTAAATACTTCAATAAAGCAGTTAGTTGTAAGAAAAACATATGATAGAAATTTTAAGAAAATATAGTACATTTTATAGAAACTCCAAAATGTGAAACAGATTTTTATCCCTCGTTTTCGAAAGCAATACAACAATTTTGAGCATCGAAAGTCACTTAATCGATAAAGAGACATACATTTTAGCAACCGAGCTCGAATAAATATTTAAGCATTTCAATTTTGTCACTCTATATTATTAAATCCTGCTTCTATCAGCTCCTGGCCAGGATCACGAGCCAACCGCTGTGACCCAGTTTTTCGTACTCAACATGCTGCATAAGCCATAAATATACGAGATGATTAATTGAATATTGAACGCATTGGCATGTCACACATATCGGCGCAATTTGAGGTGGACTATACCCTCCTCCTTCCCTCTTTTAAGCCATACAAATGTCGATACGCTCGTTTACGTAAGTACATACGTACACATGTATTTGTGGATTGTGGTGGCAACAAACGCAGAAATTCACGCTCCGCACTTAGTTTAGATTTTAGATATATATATATATATGATGCAAGGGTAAACTCGTGTGTGCACACGATTTGTGTTTGATAAGGTGGCAATGTTTGTGTTACCATTAAAATCGAATTACTTTGGCAAACTGGTCGCCAGCAACAGCTTCGGAAATCCATTAAGACGAAAGCCCCAATAAACTAAAACCCCAAAACAAACTTCGTTTCAAAGGCGATTTAATCGGAATTTGTTGCAAGCCACCGCCCTTGCCATATCATTATTGGCTATTATAAATCGTAAATAATTGGCTAATGTCGAGAATGTCAATAAATCAATTTTACTTTTACAAATCGGAATGGCAAATTAAATGACTAACAATCAATTACTATTTACGGTTTTAATTTAAGCTTAAAATGTCATTATTAAATCATTGTACAATTTCATTTATTTTAAATATTTAATGAATTTATTCACAAATTATTTTCAGCTTAATGGTTGGTAAAGAACCCTCTTTTACAAAACCATTTAGAAAAAGTTAAGCAAATCAATAAAATCCAATAAACAACATGACATTTCATTCATATTGTATTGTTGTTTTTCTTAGCTCAAGGATAATAGTATTCGATGAGCTTTTTTATAGTTAACTAATAAAAAAATATAAAACATATTGTTATAAAAGTTCCATGCAGAGCAGATGTGAAAAAACACATTCATATAAATATTTATTTTCTGTTTTTTTATAAATAACGAAAGCTTTTTTAAAGACCCTTTTTATGGGTTTCGAAATTGCATTCAGTTTTTTACATCATTCGCTTCCTTATTGCTTGGCAAACAACACAATTTCATTATGGACCTATACATAAACTTCATCAACTGTTGCCTCTTGGCGGTTGCAGTGATGGGAAGTTTTGGCCAAGCTAGTTTGTTTCAATATTTTTAAAACATATATGGAATATTTTTTATTGGGATTTCATTTTAAACAGTACCACGAGCCTTTTTTTAAGATTTTTATTACCTAAAATGACTGACTTTTTCTAATTCATTTTAAAGTTTACTGTTGTAGTTCCAAAACCTTTCCCATCTCTGACTTTTGGCTACTTGTCGTCAGCAGAGCCACCTGTTACTGGCATTCAGGTGGGTGCAGTCGAGTGGGTTCTCGTGGTGGTGTTCTCTCTTAAACAAAAGGCACAGTCCTCCGTGTTCAATTTAATTTCTCTGAATAGTTTGGTCCTTGTGTGTGCTTTTGCGTGGGTATGCGAGAAACAACAAAAGCAACAGTCAAAAGACACATTTAAATGACAATGACAGTTTTGCTGTGGCGGCCCAGAAAAGGACAAAGGCGATGCTTGATTGGCAAGAGAATGGCGGAGTGTGTTTGGCGCATGCAAAGTCCAACAGTTTTATCGACTTCTCATGAGTGTGTCACAAACGCTCACCCACACACACACACATCATTCGCTAAGACGCCTTCCGGCATTGCTGACAAAAGCGCTCATTTCAGGCCGTGTAGGTGCAAATACGGAAAAATACGGAAAATTGAAAATGTCATAAAGTTGCGACGGCAAAATGGCAAGCACAGGAAAAAATATTCAAAAAATATATGTTTGTTTTATAAAACGAAAATGAAGATGTGGTTGATTCAAGAACTATGAAAAATGGAAAAAATAGTTTAGTTATTAATTTCTTAAGAAAATTTCAAAATTTCTTTTGGTGTTTTCTGGCGCAATCTTTTTCGCTCCGTGGGAGTCATATTTGAGAACTCGCTAGCCGGCTGACTGACAGACAGACATGCCATGGCTATCATGGCAGCACGGCATCAATTGCGCTTAGAAGATGAGAATCCTTTGCTTTCCGCCCTCCAATATCCTGCGTCCTCCATGATGGATGCATCGCATGTGCAAAACTGACGCTCGACTGCGTGCGGTGAAAATGTAATTAAGCATTTGATGCTGCCACCTGCCTCGTCGTCATCGTCTCGGATTCTTGTTGAACAGTGTAGCACTATTGTGTGGAAACTTAACAGGAAAACATATTTTTTATACTATTTTTTAACTACAGATTGTAATTTAATCTTTTTTGTTATGCTTTCAACGCATGTCTAAGAATTTCTCATGTTTTTAAGAGTTTAGGGGTTTATATCAAATGGAATGGAATATGAAGCTTATTGCTTATTAATTTACAACAATAATTTCTACCAATCTGTATTATTATATTGACCACAATTGTTTGTGTTAGTTAAATCTCACAGCACGTTGTCTTATTGAAAATATCAAAGACTTAATGGGAAGAAAAAGAGATGCACCTACGTGCAGGATGGTGACGTCTTGTATGGCTCTCTTTTTAATTTACACTTGCTGAATTTTTAATGATGCATGTGCCATCGTTGCGTATACGTAATGTGCGAGAGACCTGGATGTGTATTATCCGCCCTTACACACACAAACACACACATACACAGAACAACCAGACTAAGGATAAGAGTCCCTGTTGTGAACCAGGTCCAAATACCAAATACCGAATGCGTCGGGATGCCTGGCAACGAGTATTGGCTATTTTTAGAAGGGAAAATCCATTGAGACCGTCAGACAAAAGGAAGGAGAGAGCGCTTCCGGAATACGCAGCTCGATCCTGGTAATTGAATTTGACTTGGCCCAACGACAATCAATATTGAGACAAGGATGCCACAGGAAGGCCGTGAAGCCTCATCCGGCTAATGGTTGAATGCTGTTCCTCGTTTCGTTTCGTTTCGTTTTTGTACCAGCTACATCGATGGAAGAGATTAAAATGCACATTGCACATACGTCATGTTGGTCGAGCATAAAACTCTCGAAATTCAATGCAACGGCATTTCATGAATAAGCAAAGACGGACAAAACAAACAGTATCTTTCTGCCTTTCAATATTTCACTGTCATTATCAAACATATCTCAGTGAAATGGTCACAATCTGTGCAAATATAAGACAGTCCAGGGTCAAAGTCAACTTCCCGAAAGCAAAGAGCACGAAATGGGTGGCCAGGATATGTCGAAGGATGCTAGACTGGCTGTCACATCAAAGATAAATATGCAACAGTCTGCCAAAGGCAAGGGCAAACAAAGAAACGGGATACTAGGTCTTTGGGGCTGACAGACACTTTGATAGTACGGGAATGTGTGGCAAAAAGATATTTTATCGAAAATCCTCTTTAAAATTATTGTTATTTATTGGTTTCCAATATCATAAATATCCTAAACATATTGATATTTAGTAATAATTTGTGGTTATCAAGAAGATTAATGCGAAGATTGTAGTCAAGATAAGATAAAATATATTTGCATTTGAAAAATTGAGAAATATCTCTTCTAAATTCATGACAGTTTTACCTACATTTTTGTCCCTATCTTCCAAAGGACTGAGTAAGTGGCTCATTGGCCGGGTCGACACACGAATCGAGCACACACAGCGCAATCAATGTCAAAGTGTCGCTTAAGCGAATACACAAAAAGTCCATGGAATAAAGATAGATATGAGCTCCTGGGAAGGAAGGAGTGAGTACTAAACCTGTGAGTGTGCGTATTCCTCTAGCCAACCGTCTCTACCCCAGTCGTGCTCCAAATAGCGCCTTAAGCCCGGTGCTCGGTGGGGGCATATATTACTATAAAATAAGCGTTAAGCATGACTACCAAAAGGAGCGGGGTGGAAATGACTGACGGGGGAGTAGTCTTGTTACATGCTCAGTACGTATGTATGAACATTAAGCGTCTAACTTGCTGGTGTCAAGTGCTTGTCGACAAGGTTGTCTCTCTCTCTGGTTCACAATATTGACTACTTGGAGACCAAAGGCAACTGGAAAATGTGGGTTTCCGGGGGAAACGGCAAGCAAACTCTGTGTGACAAGTGAGAAGTCATTTGTTTTTCGGCACAGGATTCAAGCCCAAGGATTATTACTAACAGTTAAGCCTCTTATGCTTATAAAGCTGTGGTCAAAATAATATTACCTAGTCATGACAGAATCTAGTCATTGTTAGATGTACACAATGGTTTATATTTACTTTAACTAATTTCTATTAAGTTCCATAGAGTTACTGAATAACTTTAAGGGCTTTCTCTATAATAAATTGCCAGACTAGTCTTTAAATGCCTTTCAATTCAATCAAGCCATCAGCCAAAAAGGCTCAACCCTTTGATTACACAAAATCTCTTATAAATTATTCCCTTACT